ATCCCCTCTGTGGTCCCTTCCCAGCCAGGCTCTGCAGTGGTGCAGGGCAGCCCCCCCAGCTTGGCTGCCTTCCCTGGACCCCCTCCCTGGTACCCTGTGTCCCTCCCTGTTGCCGCATGGTGCCTGCCCCGGGTGGCTGGTGTGGTTTTTTCCAGCCCTTTTTTCTCCACTAGCCGTGCTCTGTAAGCGTGTTTTCTCCTCTCTGGTCTGCTCTGCTTCTCCCAGTGAGGATTACAAGCAGCACTTTTACCCCCGGGACCTGCTGGTATTTTCGGCTCACCCCCTCCTGGTTTATCCCACCCACTATGCCGGGGACAGCAACTGGCTGAGTGACACGGAGACCTCCACCATCTGGGATGATGACACCAAGAAGACCGACTGGGCTGGCTCACAGAAGACCCTGAGGGACTCACGGGGCAGTGCTGGCCACCTCCGCTCCACCGCTCGCGACGAGCTCTGACGGTGAGCGAGGCTGCAGGACTGGGTGCTTGGGGACAGGGTCAGGGAACAGAGACCATGGGGAGCACCTGCCTGTGAGTGCTGTGTCCTGCATGCCTAGTTTCTTTCTGCCATGTGGCAACAGCTCTCCCCATCCGACTCAAAGCACTGGGAAACTGAGACAAGACCTTCTCTCCCCAGTGGGGAAGGGGATGAGGGTGCAGATGTCCCATGTGGGGCTGCACTGGGCTGGAAGGAACCCTGGGACCGGCTTGTGCCTCCTGGGACCTGCTTCTCCCTGAGTCCTTGCGGCTCCCCAGCCCCTCAAGCGAGGAAGGGACAACGCTCCTTTGCCTCCCACAAGTTACGTTAGTTTGGAGAGAGCCAGGGGCATCTTGCAGCAGAAAGTTTCACCCTGGCTCTGCTTGCACCCCGCCAAAAGCGAGTCTCCCTGGGGCCGTGTCTCTACAGGCAGGCGCGAACTGGCTCAGCCCCGGGGCAGCACCGCCACGGTTAATGCCGGGTCAGACTTTCCCTGTCTGAGGTTGCTTGTGCTGGCAGCGGAGTTTTGCTGGGAGCTGCCAGATCTGGGGAGGCTGCAAAACAACCCTCCCACTGCCTGCACTGCGGGTGTGAACACGTCGGCACCGCTCCTGCCTTGACCGCTAACGCTCACATCTTTGCCTCCTAGGGGCGAGCAGTTGTGACCCAGCTGGGAGCACCGCGGGCCGGTGGCCAGATCCTGCCCACTTGAGAGATGCAGCTGCCCTGGACAGATCCCCCCAGTGTCCTTTGAATCTGTGGGCGGTAAATTCACCCAAGGCAGGATTTGCCCCAGGGCTGCTGGAGAGCCTGGGCGAAGGGACCAGGGGAGTGCCGTGCTCCATCTCTGCAGAGGACACGTCTCCAGGACTGCGCTGAGCGATGCCAGCTTTGCCATCTCCCAACACTTTGGATTTCGGGGAGTGTTTTTCAGGCCAGGAACTGGCTCCAGCGGTGGCACATGTGGCCTCCCGTTGCTGACCAGGCTTGTCACTCGCCTGCACCATGCCAAGGCTGAAGCCCAGGGAGGATTAAAGCAGACTGTGTTTGAGCTGACGTGCCAGGTGCTGGCTCTGCCGGGTGGCACTGTCCCATGTAGGTGACCTCCCACTGGGGTCACCTCAGAGCTGCAGTGGTGAGGGTCTGGCATATCCCCCAGCCGGGGAAAGCTTTGAGAATGAAGACTATGATGGGGAAAGGTGGGAGAGAGAGACCGGAGCTCCCCCTTGGAATCTGGGGGTGAAAAGGTGGGCGATGTTTTCGCAGAGCTCAGCTCTCCCTTGGGAATGCTGATGGAAGGAACTTCCCTCACTGGCTCCAGGTTTGGCCTTGGAATTGGAAAAACCCAACACCAGCTTGAGCACTGAGATATGCAGCCGAGTCCTGCTGGGCTCTGGCATCTGTCACCTTTGTGGCCAGCTCTGGAGGAGGGTGTTTGCTTTCCAAGAGCCTGGGCTTGTTTGGTGCTACACCTCAGCTCCTCACCAGGGCAACGTTTGGTTGAAAACTGAGGGTTTTCTGGGGTACAGGAGCAATTTCCTTAAAAACACTGCAGTTAGCCCTAGTCTGGGTGAGCTGGGGAGATGAGAGCTCCCTGCCAGGTCCCAGCTGGGTGGAGAGGCAATGGCAGGTCGGGAACACCTTTGCTTCCCGGCCTGTCCCCTGGTCACATGTAGCCTCAGTGCTACGGGAGGACTTCAGGAGCTGGGGAGTGAGCAGAGGAAGGTCTGGTGCCAGCTGGAGTGGAGGAAGGAATCGCCAGCAGCACTGCGGCACACGTGGCCCAGCAAGGGTCCCGGCACTTGTTCCAGCGCCCGCTGGGATGCGGGTGAGGAGCTGCCTGCGCCAGGGCTCTCAGTGCTGGCCCTCACAGGGTATGTGGCGGCTGAGCTCAGGCCTTTGGGACACTGTGGTGGTGGTGGGGAGACACCTCTTCTCAGGCTGCCCTCTCCACCACAAGACCTGTGAGGGGTCTGTGAGGAGGAGCCAGACCTCCTCCAGATGTTGCAAAGCTCCAGGGTTTTGGCTTAAAATGATATAACAAAAAAACTATGAGGCCAGCCCTGAAACTTGCTGCAGCTCGGCAGGAGCAGCCTTTGTGTGCTTCTGAGTTACGAGATTCCAGGCGACTCATGCTCAACAAAGCCAAAGTGGGTTTGGACCCTGCGGAAGTTGCTCACCATTTCCCACTGGAAGCTTGGACTGGTAGAACAGGGACGGGAACGTGGATTTCAGCCACTGAGAGCAAGGGACTGTCCGAGTTCCAGAGACAGCGCAGGGCAGAACCAGGGGTGAGGGTTTATTTTATTTCTATCATATGAAGCCACTGCAGGCATTTGAGCAGGACAGGAGCTGCCTGGATGTGTGCAGGGACAGGCGGGGCTGCGCCAGCACCCAGCAATGCTGCCTGGCAGGGCCAGCTCTGCTCTGCACCACAGTCGTCACCGGGGAGTCCACAGCGCCCCATCCATTGGCCTTGGAGGTCCCTGGGGGTTCACGTCAGCCCCTGTCCCCCAGCTCCCCTGCGGGGGCTCTCTG